GTACTTTTCTCCCTTTCTCACAATACAAGAACTTGTGGGCACTCAATGAAATTGCTGAGCAGTCAGGTTAGAACAGATAAAAGGAAGTACTTCTTCACCCAAAGGTTGATTACGTAACACCTGGAATTCACTGCCACAGGAGGTGGTGGGAACTACACGCATGGACAGCTTCAAGAGGGAATTAGATAAGCATATGGAGCAGAAGTCCATCAGTGGCTTTTAGCCACAAGGTATGGGTAGGAAGTCTCAGTCTGGGGCAAGTGATGCTCTGTATTCTTGGTGCTTGGGGGGGGGGGCAACAGTGGGAGGGCTTCCAGCGTCCTGGCCCCACTGCTGGACCTCCTGATGGTAACTGGTATTTTTGGCCACTGTGTGACAGAGTGTTGGACTAGATGGGCCATTGGCCTGATCCAACATTGGCTTCTCTTATGTTCCCTTTCCCTTCCCACAACAGACACTCTGTGAGATAGGTGGGGCTGAGAGCTCTCTTGAGAACTGCCCTTGAGAGAACAGCTCTGAGAGAACTTGTGACTGACCCAAGGTCACACCAGCAGCTGCATGTGAAGGCGTGGGGAATCAAACCTGGTTCTCCCAGATTACAGTCTGCGCTCCTAACTACTACATCAAACTGGCTTTTGAATACATCAACATTCCCTTTTCAATTCACGTTGACTAATGTGCATCTTCAGAAGTAACCCTGGGTCTCTCAGATCCTAGTATGAAACTTGAACCACTACACCACACCAGCTTCTGTGGAGTGGCTGTTGTTGAACAGTAGCAGACAGCCAGTCCTGGATGCGTCCTGGATGAGTCATACAAGCTGTGCAGTAACAAGTAGCCCAGTGGTTATTGGTGTGCCTCCCTCCAATGAGTTCTCCCTTAAAGGCCAAAACTGCCCTGGAAAGGGTTCTGCCCTCGTGCTTTTTATGGACAGAAACCAAGACTTGAACTTCACGGCTTGAATACTGTTGGGGTTTCCTAGCAACGACCACAAAGGGAATTCATTTCTTAAAGGTTCAGGTGCTGATTTCTATTATTTTGGGAGATTAACCCCCAAATCCACTGCCACAGGAAGTGGTGGCGGCTACAAGCATGGACGGCTTCAAAAGGGAATTAGATAAGCATATGGAGCAGAGGTCCATCAGTGGCTATTAGCCACAAGGTATAGATAGGGACTCTGGGGCAAGTGATGCTCTGTCATCTTGGTGCTTGAGTGGGTCAACAGCAGTGTTCCCTCTAAGCTGAGTTAGTGTGAGCTAGCTCACAGTTTTTTAGCCTCCGGCTCACACATTTTTGTCATCGCTCAGGAAGGAGGGCTCCAGAGCAAGCTAATTTATGCTGCAGCCAAATCACTGGCTCACAACTTCAATGCCAGTAGCTCACAAAGTAGACTTTTTGCTCACAAGATTCCACAGCTTAGAGGGAACATTGGTCAACAGTGGGAGGGCTTCTAATGTCCTGGCCCCACTGGTGGACCTCCTGATGGCACTGGTATTTCTGGACACTGTGTGATACAGAGTGTTGGACTGGATGGGCCTTTGGCCTGATCCAACATTGGCGTCTCTTATGTTCTTATGTTCAATGTATTAGTTTTGTAGATAGATCTGGCTTATCTGCTTATGGCTCCATTCTCTGGATTTAAGTATCCACAGATCTGGCCACACTGAGAGTTAGATATAGTAATATTAACTAGTCTAGCAGTAATCCAAAAGGACCTGGCATCCCTCCTCCCTGCCTTTGTGGCATTCCCTCTCCCCTTCTCTGTTAATCGTACCCTATTTTCTGCCTTCCCCTTCTTCCCCCTTCCTTTCTCTGCCACTCTGCCCCACCTCTCTTTCTTCTCCTTCCCCCTCCCTGTTGATTTCCCCCTTTTCTCACCCTCCCCTTCCTACCTTGATCTCCTTTGGGTTGCTCTTGCTCTAAGAGTCACACCAGTGCAGTAGCAGGCCTCCCAGGAGCCAGCATCTGAACTGGTAAGTCATTGCAGGGCTCTTTTTGTAGCAGGAGCTCCTTTGCATATTAGGTGGCATACCCCTAATGTAGCCAATCCTCCAAGAGCTTACAGTAGCCCCTGTAAGAAGAACTCTATAAGCTCTTGGAAGATTGGCTACATTAGGGGTGTGTCGCCTAATATGCAAAGGAGTTCCTGCTGCAATCCACGCATGCACAAACATTATTGTTGGGAGGGAGGTTTTAAACATCTGATGCATTCCTTTAAGTGTTTAAGGGGGGTTGCAAACCTTGGGGTTCCCCCAAGTTGAGAGAAAAATTCTTTTCTGTTATTGTGGGTCTGATGCATAGATTTAAATATCCACAGATGGGCCCACACTTGACTATTAGAATGTATAAGAGTTGTTGTTGTTGCTGTTGTTGTTCAGTCGCATAGCTGAGTCTGACTCTTCACGACTTACTTCCTTAATGAGAAAGAGGCTATATCTCTCTTCCTCTAATAATTGTCAAGGAATAAACTCGACCTGGAACAGTTGTACGTCATTGGCAGTACTGGGGGGGGGGGAATCCCATAAACAATGGGGGGGGTGTTTGGGTTTTTTTTGACATTTAAAGCAGCAATGGAAATTTCAGGGAAGATGGGATGGCGATTTTAATGAACCATTTTCTTATTTCATGAGATTTCTTGCGATAAGGCTTTATATCTCTTTCTGTTGTTGATCTTTCAGGTATCGTTTAGCTCCGGAGCACCCACACCCAGCACAGTTCGAGGACTGCATGTCTGCTGTCACACATTTCCTAAAAGAAGCAGAAAATTATGGAGTGGACCCAAACCGTGTTATCCTTGCAGGGGATAGTAGTGGAGGAACACTAGTTTCTTTGGTCTGTCATCGTTTGGTAACTAGGAAAGATACCCCAAGAGTCCGAGCTCAGCTGCTGATTTATCCACCATACCAGTCAGTTGATCTTACATTGCCTTCCTATCAGCAAAACTTTTTTGGTCCTGTCTTGTTAGGGAAGCGGGTTTTCGAACTGGCTGCGAGGTTTTTTAATGAAGAGGCTGCAGATGTAAGTGGATTTATGAAGAATGCCCATGTTCCTGATTATTTTTCAGTGAAATACAGGAAATGGATTAGCGCTGACCTCGTTCCAGATGAATTTAAGGTTAGAGGCTATGTCCCTATAGCACCCGCTCCATTTTCAGAAAAGCTTTACAAAGCAGCTGGAATAGCTTTACAAGAAGATTTCTGCCCACTTTTATCTACAGATGATATTATACGTCAGCTCCCAGAGACTTTCCTTTTGACTTGTGAGTATGATGTTCTTCGGGATGATGGACTATTGTATAAGAAACGTCTAGAGGATAATGGCGTGCCTGTCACTTGGCATCACCTTAAGACAGGATTCCACGGAATTATGTACCAAAATGATTGTGTGCCCTTTCAGTTCAAAGAGGCACAAGAAGCAATGGAGCACATTGTAGATTTCGTACAAAGATGCTAACATGAAATCATCTTCCGTTTGGGACATCTATACCCATTACTTTGCATGCGGTGGGATTTGGGTGGCTTTCTTTTTAAACATTTGTCTGAAATTAGGATTATGAATGTCTTGGCGGTGTTCAATCAATGGAGATATACAGTGATGATTGGATCATCTTCCGTTTGGGACATCTATACCCATGACTTTGCATGCAGTGGGACTTGGGTGGCTTTCTTTTCAAACGTTTGTCTGAAATTAGGATTGTGAATGTCTTGGCGGTGTTCAATCAGTGGAGATATACAGTGATGATTGGAGATAGGATTAACGTCTGATTTCAAATACCATCACACTGTTTGGTGACTATGCAATAAATATCACATTTCTTCACTTATGTCTCAACTTCCAGACCCAAATGCTCCTATTGGTCAGTTTGTAGTCCAAGAACAGGATGTCGCCAAACTCAAAGACAATTAAATAACAAAAAAAACTTTCACTCAAATCACAGACCAATAACTGAATCAACAAGTTCATAAAAACAGAAGTTTTCACCAGATGCCCCCCCTCGAAGAAAAAAGCAGAGAGAGAGAGAGAGAGAGAGAGAGAGAGAGAGAGAGAGAGATGTGTGAATGCAAGTCAATTTGTTCTTGTGCTCATGTCAAACTGCTGTGTGTATTTTCTTTGCCCAAAAAAGATCCAGGGAGGAAGGGTTTAGCCTGATCTCATCAGATCTCCAAAGCCAAGCTGTGTTGGTGTTTGGATGGGAGACCACCAAGAAAGACTCTGCAGAGGGAGGTAATATAAACCACCTCTGCTTCTTACTTGCCTTGAAAGGTCCTTGCTGGAGTCACCGTACATTGGTTGTGATGGTGGCACTTATGTATGTACTTAAGATGGTCCTGTCATACATTTAAGACTAAATCATTACCCTATTGAAATATCAAGGTGTTACCCAGAAAATGAGATCCACATGCATAAGAGCCCCTTCACTAGTGCCTCCTTTACTATAGTTTTTGGGGTCTTTATATTATGAAATGAGATGGAGAATCATTACATAATAATGTCAGATCTATTGACTACAAAAGAGAGACAAAAAGATGTCGGGACAGGGTAAATTCAAAATGCAGTCTGTCGCAATAATCCCTGCGGTGCAGGTTTGATAGTTGTGTGAGATTCACGTGTGTCTGACCAATGGCTAGTCCAGATGAACCCACTGATGAGTGATGAGAATGTATGTATGTACAATGTTCCCAAGGGAAAAGGAGGAAGGGAAGGCAGGCTAAGATAGCAAGGGATAACAAAGAGCAAAAGGCTGAAATGGCTAGGAGGGGAACCACAAGCGTGGGTTGTAAAGGGTCAGAGAAGAAGAGATAGTATGGAAAGAAGAAGAAGAAGAAGAAGAAGAAGAAGAAGAAGAGGAGATTGGATTTATACCCTGCCATTCACTACCCAAGGAGTCTCAGAGTGGCTTACAAACTCCTTTCCCTTCCCCTCCCTATAACAGACACCCTGGGAGGTAGGTGGGGCTGAGAGAGCTTTGACAGAAACTGCTCTTTTTCAAGGACAGCTGTGCCAGAACTACAGCGTGCCCGAGGTCATCCAGCAGGTGCAAGTGGAGGAGTGGGGAAGCAACCCCGGTTCTCCCAGATTAGAGCCCGCACACTTAACCACTGCACCAAACTGGAAAAGGGGGGCAATGATGTTTGGAGGAGAGCCTGAAGTAGCCCGACTGAACTGGGCAGACCCAAGAAGACAGCTGGTATGGTATAGTGCAGGGGTGGCCAAACTGGCTTAACATAAGAGCCACATAGAATAAATGCCAGATGTTTGAGACCTGCAAGACACGAACAAATATCACACACACACTTTTATTGAAAAATATGCAGATTTCCTCTTTATTAATATTAAAACGAGACTGCCAAAAATAAAAGGGGTAAAAAAATACAGATATTGATAATGATATCTATTTGTCCAATGATATTTATTTGTTTTCTAATGGTATTTATTTGTCAGAGAGAGAGAGAGAGAGAATAGATGGGGGGGAGGAAGGGAGATGTGGAAAGAAAGCAACTTTAACTTTAAATGTGTCCTCCAAACCTCCCCCCCTCATGCCCCGACATCAACTGGCTTGGCTTGGAGGAAGGATTTAAAGAGACAAATGATTTAGCACTGGCACAGCAATGTCCACTGTTGTGGTCAAGGGCACAACAAGCATCTCTGGCAAAGTAACAAAATACTTGCACAAACCTGGAAGATATACTGAGATATGGGCTATGGTGAAAGAAAGAGTTTATTGAGGGGAGTAAGTAGAACATGCAATCAGTGATGATAATATCAGACATACACATGCAATACTGAGCACTACAGTGCCCATGTTATCATGCACATATTACAAATGCCCACACAAACTGTACACCCACGCACACTGATATTGAAACAACCACACACACACTATGTACATTACACACACTTGATCTTAGCTTGTACACATTCAGAGATAGGCAAAAAAAGAGGTAGGGCAAAAGGTTAGAGGTGAACAATCATGGAAGAAAGCAGACACCCCCCCGTACTTCTAAAATACCCAGAATTGGATTGGCTGGCACAGTTTTGTGGTTTGTTTATGAATTTGTTTAAAATATTAATATTCTGTTTATCTCCCTAGAGACAGGGTGGCTAATAAAGCATCAAAAAGCTGCAAACCCATAAAGAACAGTGTTTAAATCAAAGCCCTCCGACATATAGAAAGATATAACAAGATCTATAGGATAGTAAGTATCACAGTAAACAAAAACTTGCAACAAACAGTCACAATGAAGTCAGTTAAGCAACCGTGATTCGCTGCTTGGAGATCAGGTGCGGGCGACCCACCGCTAGAAAAACAGCATTTAAAGGGAACCCTTTAAATGTTGTTTTTCTAGTGGGGGGAGGTACATGCTTTCCCTGATCTCCAAGCTGCAATTTTGCCTCTTGGAGAACAGGCACGGGCAGCCCCCGCTAGAAAAACGGCAGTTCAAGAGAATCCTTTAAATGCTGTTTTTCTAGTGGGGGACTGCCCACGCCTGATCTACAAGCCACAAAATTGGAGTTCAGGGAAGGCATGTGGCTAGCAGTTGCCCCTCTCCCTCCCCTCCTGCAAGATTTAAAGGGCCCATTGATCAGCTGGAGGGCCCTTTAAATCTTGCAGGAGGGGAGAGAGGTGGTGGCTGCAAGATTTAAAGGGCTCTCCGGCTGGTCATCAGGCCATGCGCTCCCGCTGATCAGCTGGGGAGCCTTTTTAGTGCCACGGGAGGGGAGGGGGCAGTGTGTTTTGTGAGGCATGCCTCCCGTTTGAGGGGGCCGAGCCCCCAAATGCCTCACCATAGCTACAGGCCAGGGCTCCACAAAGAGAAAGGAAAAACAGAACAAGTCACAGGATGGGTAATCTCTTCATTGGGGTGAGTGCTTCATCATCAGGAACCTTTCTTTTCCTTGTTGAACTTTTAGTTGTATAGTTCTCAGATATGCATCTTCTTGGCCTAGGAAAGCCCCAGCCAGTTTCATGCAAGGTAATTGGCTTGGAGCTTAGAGCTTCAAAACTCATACACTAAGGCCTGATTTACGCATACAAGTGAATAAGATGGTAGAATGCCAATTGTGGTGCTGCTCCTTGGGGTGTGGGTGTGCAGGCGATGCAAAGACGACACAAGACAAGCTTGCAGGAACTGTCTGAAACCTCTCGGCTTCCCAGTGTTTATTTATACACCTTTCTTCCCCCTTCTCCCTCCCTCTCCCTCCGTAAGGGAGTTACAAACATTCGAGCATCCTTTTGGAATGTGTGTGTGTGTGTGTGTGTGTTTTCAGGCAGCTGTCTGCTATCTGCCTCTCCCCCTTTCTCAAGGCTAACTGACTGCGTAGTTTAGGCAGTCACCAGACTTCTCTTAGCACACAAATACTTTCGGGTTACCAATCTCCAGGCAGGAGATTGCACTGCTTTCCCACAGCCAATATGCTAGAATGGACTGCCTGATAGGAAAGGAAATGCTCCTGGCTATAGAAGAGGAGATAAGGAGGAATACCACTGATGATGTCTCTGCCAATTGCATAGTCCCGAAACTACCAAATAAAACCCGTTTTGAAAAAGAGACATCCCATAATGATACGGGAAACAGCAGGCCTGCCGGATCTCCCAGCAAAGCAGGTGACCGTTCAGCCAACAGCTCCCCAGGGCCGACTTGTTCATAAGGCAGGCAGTTGCCTAGCCTCCCAACCCCCACTGGCTGCTTTTTAGGGCAGCAGGGGGGAAATGCTGTGAAAATTGCTGTCTCTCTGATGGCATGACATCACTTCCAGCACAAAACTGGAAGGGATGTCATTGTGTTGAGGAAATACTCTACAGGTTTCACCACTGAAACTCTCTGGTTGTAGTGTTGGGCAACCCAAGGGCACAGTAATCGAGCGTGAAGTAAAACTACGCACAGTACTGGTAATGTTAAATTGCAAAGAAATTTTCAAGGTGATCAAAAGAGAATCTTGATTGGGCATGCTGCAAAATTTGCCGTGGGCAAATATCTCAAATTTCCTCCGTTGCAGTTTTAAAATATGTCTCCTGATCACTTTCCAGATTTGTTTTTTGTAAACATACTGTTTCTGGCTTTTCTTTCTGCGGTGTTTTGTAAAATCCTTTTCTTTTAAAGGGATTATTCTGGCCATCAATATTAATTTCAAGAAAGTCTTGCTTTATTGTTTTATTAAAGGGAAGAATGGCTCAACCTACACTGTATTTGAAAGATAACAAATCTCTTCCTTTAGTCCCGTTCCTTCCCCACACAATTGTGTCTCATTCAAAAATTCTACTAGGACTTCCTTCTCTGTCTTTGATAGCTCAAAAAAAGTACCTCGCAGACACCAAAGATTTTATTACAATAGTTGTTTCCTTATGCCGCCCTGAGACTGCCTTGGCGGGGAGGGCGGGGTATAAATTGGAATAAATAAATTAACAAATATGCTGAACCAATAATTTGAATGGAAATTCTCACCTATATGCAATGTTCTCTTTGTTCAGCCTCTTACATAAAAGCTAAAATTCTGGCAGCTGGTTGTGAGATATCGTTTAGTAGGGGAGTGTACTTCATTATGTCTTCCAGGTGAGTGAGCAACTTAGCCTGTTGCAGCAAAATGACGGTCTTGTGGCAAGCTTTGCTGTGGCGTATGCATGCATATTTGTCTAGCAGTGCATGTGAGTTATCAAAGGAGACCTGTATGATGGCTTCGACTGCTACATGCACGTCTTCCAAGAAAAAACTCCCTTGATAGATACAGATGGGAGGATCTACTGAGTCCGCTGCCAATCAGCATTTCTTTCTGGAAATGAAATGAACAGAGTTGAGCTGCAGCAGCGTGTAACCGGAACAACTGTGCAACTGGAA